CTCACTTCTTAGTACTAGTTTTCAAGTATCTTAATTTAATAAGGTATCTGTAGATACCACATAATGAAAAAAAAGGATACAATTTAGCTGCCATCCTCACAAGCCACCCTCCTTGGCTCAGGCATAGGAACACAGAGGACTTAGTTTGGACTGTCCTCCCCAAATACTTTGCACTACCCTAACATTTCAGACAAAAGTTCAAGAACATAGTCTTCCTGCCCCACTATCTTCTTAGGGCTAATGGTTAGCTGAAGGATGCTAACTGGTAAGGCACAATAAGAATATTTTCTGTTAAAACTGGCAAAGAATAGAGGTGAGGGATAGGAAAAGAAATAGAAATGGGAGGAGAGGAGCAAATTCCATCTGCTACCTAACTATGTACCTCCTTGGAGGCACGTCTTTCTGCCTTTTGACCTTCCACTCACCTTGATCAACAAAATGTGTTATGGGATACCAATGAGAAGTACTTTTTCATTGTAACAATAATTCATAATGTTTATAGAGCAATTCTTCCAAAACTGCAAGCAGAGATATGACACTAAGATGGCTCCACCAGATCTTGTTACCAAAAGCAAAACCAATGAAACAACATCTGTCTCTTCTAGAGCATTCAATTCCCAATTCAATTCCATTTACTCCATCCTTAGAGTGGCGGACCCGCAGGGCACTTTTCATCTAATAGTGTTTCTATGGCAACGCAATTCTCAACCTGGAAGATTCTACAGCCCCTCACTTTGGCTTTATCCACACTGAGAAGAAAGTCTTATAAATCAGAAACTGAGACATAAATTTTGCTACAGCAAAAAAATAAAAAATAAAAAAATTCCAGGCTAAAAGTTGAAAGAAAGAAAACAAACTCAAAGAGCAAAATGTGTATATAACTTAGAAATGAAGTTTGTCTCTATAGCACCCAATGGAATCCTCAAGATCAGTGAAAGGATGGGGAATCCAAGAGAATGTGAATGAAAGTCAAATATGTCACCCCCTGTCTGATTTCTTCACATGAATCTACAGGTATGCATTTTGACTACTTCCACTTTCCCTAACTCTCCGGATTCCTAGGGAACACAATAGCTCCATACAGGAAAATACGTCACTGCGTATTTTAAATAAATAAGAATCATATTAACTGCTTTTCTACTTAGATTTTATTTAAGATTGCAGTATTTTAGGTGTGTGTGTGTGTGCAACATGCTAGGGTAGAAAAACAGACAAAAGACCCTTGATTTTTTTTTTTACCTTAAACATTGTATTTATTCCTTCCCCTCATTTTTACTAGCCCTTAGGCATGTATCTTTGTAATGCTATGTAGCAAGATAACCAGTAATATGCAAAACACATCCTGCTTAAACATTATGACATAGTAGGTTATATTTACAGTTGGAATAATACCCTTAAGGAAGGAAAAATATCTTGACGTGGTATATGCCCCTGAACTGATCGTGACTATATAGTGACTCACAGCCAAATATTAAGTACTTTCTAATCGTTTGCAGTGATTTGTCTTCAGGCAAATGCAAGCATTTCTAAAATACATAGTTTCATTTTCTTTTGAATTCTCTCTCATTATCTAAATAATGTTAGTCACTCTTTTCAATTCCAGGCAATTTTTTTTTTTTTTTAGGAGACCTCTAGTTATCAAAACTAGCTAACTGGAAATTCACATCACTAAAATTTCCTTTTACCCCATCAACACCAAAGTTTAAAACCTGTTTCCTTTTTCTTTTATTGTCTTCATAATACACAAGTATGTCCAGTTTAGCTTGCTAGAGACTGTGAGTCCAAGAATGAAGCTTTAGTTCTCTCCTTGGAGTAGTAAAATGTGCTACTGATTAAAACTACCTGCAGCCAAGTACAGAAAGGCACATTTTTCTTATGCAGCTGGGGTGCAAATCCAGAAAGTTTTTTTTTTTTTTTTTAATTCAGAGCTTTTCTACTCCCCTTAACAAACAAATGCTGAAAGCCCTTTCAAAGGCAGATTTTTTTTAAACTGAATACACTCAATAAAAAGATTGACCCATTTATTTTAAAAAGAAAAAAAACAAAACAAAATAGCAGTTTGCTTTCCAAAAGGTGTATGAGGTTTTATAATATGCTTTTTGATATTTAAAAGATTAGTTTTTACAATTTGCTAATAAACTGCGGTTGCTATTGTTTTAATTAGCCAGAGTTCAATTACTCTCTTATATTTAGCAAGACTTCAGAAAGAATCTCCTGGTTAAGTTGCATTAATCATATAGAAGAATGTGATCCTCTACAATTTGTACACAGTCTTTCAATTGAATTATGCCTCTCTAAAATGCTTCCAGAATCTGAAATAAATTTGCTAAAGAATTAACACTAAGATAACAGTAGTTACTTACATTTGGACAAATAATAATAAAACTCTCTTTATAGGTTTTTTCATATCACTTATTATAATCAGCTCTTGACTATAAATGTTACCTAAACAGTTTGTGCATTCCTTCAAGTATAAGGCGACAAGGAGAAGGCTATTCCTTGTAACTGGAGATCAATCTACTCCAGCAATTGGAGAAGAGGAATGGAGGGGGATCTTTCTCACTGGGCTAAGGAAAGAGGGAGAAAATGTAAATATATCTTCTCAGTTTTCTTTTTTAGATGGTATTACGAGAGGTTTTACTTTTTAGAGACCATTGGCATTACCAATATTTTGTATGAGTAGATAGCAGTGGAGAGGGGAAGGAGGGTGGAAATGTCCAATGGAAACCAGGAGACAATGTCGATGAGCATTCCTAGAATGCCAGGGAGACCAGAACAAATGGGTTTCCCTCTTCGGGGTAGTGGTACAGGCCAGCACCGACCCCCTGCCTGAAGGAAATTAGCTGGACCTCCACAAAATCAGACAGTTCATGAATAATTTCTATTGCAACTGCCCCAATAATATATGGACCACAAAGAGCATTGCAATGTAGGTAAAGTCATGCTGGCCATTTTAAAAGTGTGTGTGTGTGTGTTTTGTTTTGTTTTGTTTTAAATAACATAGCTCTTGGCAAGGTTCTTCACAAGGATATGACCTAGAAAACCAGGAAATCTTGTGGATTAATAAGAGAAGTTGCTTCTCTCTCCTGATTCTGTCTGAACCAATATTTGATTATATTTTATTCAGGGGCACCTCAGCTTCAAGGGAAGCCAAAACTCCTTTGCAGATTGAAATAGAGGCTGATGAAGTCTATCTTTTTTTTGCTGTTAGTACAGGAAACAGAAAGGGTTTGGCTGTGACTTCAGGATCAACCTGATTTTGTCCTCTCTCCCCACTCATCCAGAGGTTAGTCGGTTAGCTCTAGTGGTGAAACACCAACGTGGCTGCATCAGCACTTTTGCCCAATTGTCACTTCTTATCTCTTACTGACTTTAGTTGCCAGACTATTTTTCATGCTATGCCCTCTAGACCCTAGCCCTTCCCTCCCCGCTTTGGTGGTGGTCAATAATCCTCAACAGCAAACTGTCAAAAGGCAGATCTCAAACCATCCACATAAATGCAACAAGTGGCAGGCAAGTAATGGTACCCAAATCAGGTTTTAGGTCAACCTAATATGATGTTAAAATCAGCTAAACCATCTACATCTTCAACTCACTACCAGTATTATTCTCAAAGCTGATTCCAAAACTGTCAACATAGTCTAGTTACTGTTTGGAATCATACAGGGAAGAAGAAAAGGAAAGAAACTATTTTTCAGTTAGTCCTGCTGCTCTCAATTTTATTTTATTTAGGGATGCTGTAAATTGGGATTAATTTATAGCCTTGAGTGTTATTGAAGGCACATTCTCTATCCAGAGGAGACGAACCAGCACGGCTTCCCACATCCTCTATTTGTCTCCCTGTATCAGTATAAGTCACTGAGGAACATAGCTTTGAAAGTGGGCAAGGATGTGAGGGTCAACAGGTCTGGACACGTTAGTGACAGTGGAGAATTAACTCTGATACTGAAGAAAGACAAATGACTTTAAGAAAGGCAAACTAACCTAAAAACAGTAACAAAACGTCTGCTCCTAATATTAAAAAAAAAAAAAAATTAACATTCATTCATTTTAGGCTAGTCTGTACTATGACTTGCCTAAATTCACCCTTTGTCCATACTACTGAAAATCCCCCAGGTCAACAAGTTTTTGATTTTCAATGTTACTTTATCCATAAATTTTCATGCCATCTTCTTCCTTAGATGTCCTTAAATAAGTATGCACTTCCAAAAATATCCACCAAAATATTATGATTATAAGTGTTTTCAACATGAAATCCATTCAGAACAATAACCAAACAAAACAAACCCCTCAGTAGCATAAAGCCCCAAATCTCCAGTTTCTCACATCTCCAGGAGAATTCCTGCAGTGAAAACAGCAATACTCACACAGACAATATAAACTGTTAACTCGGCTTCAAAAGTCACTAGGGACTACACAGGAAGGACTGACTCTGTATTGCTGTTTCCCTTTTCAGTTCTAAACGCAGGGACAACTTTCACTGTGCAGCTCTGACTCGGATGAACATCTTGTAATGGCAGCCAGTACGTTCAAACCACTTAAAAGCAAATTATGTGAGCATCCTGCCATTGCTCAAGATTTAAATTTCTGCAGACCAGTCACCATAAAGGTCCACTGTAAAGCATTGGAAGAAATTAAGTCCTTCTCTTTGGGGTTTGTCTGACTTTGTTCTTAGTGGGATCTGGTTCCTGGTACTTAAGAGTCACGCTGAGAAAAGCAACATCATTAACATACATACTTCACATTACAAGTGCTCATGATCTCCTAAACCTTATAACTTACAAAATTGAGCAAAATTGAAATAGCAAACTTCAAATAAAACTCCTAATTTGGGGTATGGATCAACCCCAAGTGCTAACACTTTTGTAAGAACTGTGGGCACACAGTGATTTATGAAATATTCCAAGTCCAGAGGGATCATTCTTCCCCATTTTTTTTTTCTATCAAAACTGGTTCATTGTCCATATTTAGTTTACATATGTCATTTAGAATCCACTTACTGTTAGATGCTGGAACAGCCACGCCCTCATGATATTTGTGGCTACTTTGGGAAAGATGCCACGCTTTTTGTGACGCTTTTTGTCCTTATCTGGATCATCATCGTCACCTGTGCTGGGGGAAGCTACACTGTTGTCCAAGCCATCACCTGCAAACATAGTGAATCAAATTTTGACTGATGCTACCTTGACATGCTTTATTCAAATAGAATGCCTTTGGATATAAACAAAACCAAAAGAGCAATATCAGTGATTCATAGTTTATTTGGTACTGTTTTCTTTTTTTTTTTTTTTTTAATCAAGACAGAAAGACCAATGCCTAGGCTCAAAAGTAGTCAGGTCTAAGGAACTTCTTCCAAGGAACAGTGGGAAAGGTTAAAGGGAATGGAGGGGAATACCCATCTCCTTAGTAGCTTTGTTGCTATGATAACTACTCACATGTGGATAGTGGAGACATGTTAAGTATAACTTCTACTGGGGAGTTAAATATGCTGGAAGCCATGAATAGAGGTGCTGCCCATGTCTGAGTATCCAAATCCCACATAAAGTCACTGACGTCAACTTATGAGAAGATGCATTTAAGATCTCAACTATTTCCGCAAGTGATCTATCTTAAGACTAAAGTAGGCTGTGGAAATGTAGGTAATCCATCATATAAGCAGTTTGACATAGGAATGCTTCAAATAGAATATAATTTTTCTTGTCATAGAAAGAGAGCCTCAAGTATAGTAAGGGGAAAACTCTTGAAATCGTTTTATTGGAAAACAATGACTTGAAATCAACTAAGTGATGTTAAATTAACAGTCCATCGGGATTGTATTCCTCTAATAACCCAGGCAGTTTCTTAAATTTCTTCTAGATTTAAATTTTTCTCACTGAAAAGTCACCTGCTTACACAATCCTGCACACTGGATCCTATTTTTCCATTGATTTTTGTCACAACATTTAAGTTGTTTCTTCTAGATAATTTTTGGGGTCTGTGACACAAAATCAAAAATGTAGTGTTCCTTTGAAAATGGCATATTGAATAAGAAAAAAAAAAAGGTGAAATTTCAGCCTATGTAATAACACTGCCTAAAAAACAAGGCAAAAGGTACAAATGGAAAGTAAACACTTGAAGTTTAGGCACAAAAGTTAAAAAGGAAAACAACAGTGGACTGAAGTTACTACCCTAAAAAAAAAAGTAGCTTAGCTTTTGTCAGACTGGTACCCCAGCTCTCTCGGTGGAAGCTACTGGCTTTTAGAGAGGGACAGGTTGATCTTGACCCAGAATGAAGAGCTAGAGAGGCAAGGCTTAGCAACAAGCTAACACACTCCCTGTGTTCACCTATCCACATGGCCCAAAGAACTCTGGCAAATCCATACGGGGAAACTAGCCTCAGATTCCTTTGTATTGCTTCATGAATTTCTGTAGTCTTAGCTTCTTTAATCTAAATTCTACACACAAAAAGAACTCCTTATTTAAAAAAAAAAAATTCTACTGAAGTATAATTGATTTACAATGTTGTGTTTAATTTCTGTTATACAGCAAAGTGACTCAGTTACACACACATGTTATTTTTCATGTTTTTTTCCACATCATTTATCATAGGATATTAAAGAATTCCCTATTTTGATTTAAGCTATTTCAGTCGAATCTAAAGTAGTTAGCCTGTCATTAATGCGTTGCTCTTAACAGAGCTCCCTCAGGAAACTCTCCCCATCCCTCCAAAAAGAAAACTGTCCCCCAAATTACCTTGACTGAGTTGACGATTAAAAACTTTGTTGGGTGAGTAACAGACTGATTTTAACTTTTCTCCTAGGATTACAGCATATGCCACAAATACAAAACTTTTCTGTTGAACTTTTATCAATTTGTTGTTGTTCAGTCACCCTGTCGTGTTTGACTCTCTGTGACCCCATGGACTGCGGCATGCCAGGCCTCCCTGTCCCTCACCATCTTAGAAGTTTCCCCAAGTTAAAACATTTTAACTGATTTTATCAATTTAAAATCCATAATTTAATTTTATTCAAAGTTTTGTTGACAAAAATCGTATATTCTGTGAAAAGTCCACAGAACTGTAGCTGTGTTCTCAGTGAAAAAGATCATAAAGATCCACAATGCCCAAGCCTTCATGGTAGAAATGAAGAAAGTACTTGTGAACCTTCTGGGTGACTCACCCAAGGGGGCTGGGTTGGTGGTCCAGGCAGGGCCAGGCACCCACATCCCTAAACCACCGCTCCTTCCACCTCACAGGATCCTTTATTTGCATAACCAAGTGTTTTATAAGGAGTCCCCTTGGATTTGCCTAATAAATTCTTTGAAAGTCCAATATTTAAAGAGGCTTTTTATTCAGAGAAGCAATTCACCATATAAAATAACAATTCATTAAAGAAACATGAGAAAAGAAAACAACTCAACAGCATTTAAAATTTCAATGGGCTAATCCACTTTCAATATGCAAAAGGTAACCAAGGAAAAGAAACATATTACTAGATCATCGATTAAAAAGCTTCTAACCTAAGGATACAGTTTTTCATCACCTTGCCATGACTGTTTTCCACCTTAAAAAAAAAAAATAGCCTTTCTCTCTATCTCAAAACCCCTTCAGATTAATTTAACAGGCAATGCCTAGTGCCTGCCTCGAAGAGAATTCATTGATAATTTATGGAAATATCTACTATAATCCAGAGGAGATGACTTTTTTCCAGCTTTGTGCATCAATAGATAATCAAGGCCTTAAAGCAGCCTTAGCTTCCCATTACCTCAGGCAAAAGAATTCCTGAAAGCGTGCCTTAAGGGCACCTGAATTATATACTCCATTAGGAGAGGAAGGCTTTCTGCATTCCATGGGTAACACTCACCAGAACCTTTCCTGTTTATTTCTGCTGTGTGAAAGCAGAAGCATTAGGAACAGAATTTTTTAAGTGAAGACTTATGTAGATACAATGGAGAAACCTTTCAAGCAAGAGCCAGATCACCCCCTTCAGTCCCTGGCAGTGACCTCTCTCGAATAAAAGGTTTCTATTACATCATTAGCTCAAGCCAAAAACAGCCTTGGCTTAATGCTCAGTTTGTTCTTCCTACTGTTTTTAGGCAAATACAGCTACTTTACTCCCATCTGGGAGGGAAATTACACTGCTGGGTTGTAATCTAAGACAAGATTTTCATTGGAAGCAAATGCTTTCAATCCAGTGTAAATACTGGTGCATGTTCAGAAAAGCCTAAAACAATAAACCCCGCTCCTTCCTGACACAAGTTAGGGAAATGGAGAGGACGGGGAAGGAGGAGAGCATACTAAAACAGACGATTCTCAAAGCAAACGCTCTCATAGATCTTAATAAATTGTTTAACCTCTTCCACTTTCTAAAGCTGGAAAATTGATCTCGGAACGTCTCCACCTCAGAGGAAAGTCTCAATGGTCAATTGTACCTTGCACATTTCCATCCACACTGCAATATGATACAGTCACTTCTCTGCGGTCTCCGGAGGATTTATTTCCTTTTTTTATTTTTAAGATCACTAAACAAACTTGGAGGACCGCCGGCCGACCACACGGCAGCAGGCAGCAGCTCTGAACCACATTTGTAAAATGTCAGCAGTGACTTCATTCCTGGAGCTGACTTCTCCTGCCGCCAAATGAAGGCAAACTGAAAAGGTGGAAATAATCATAAAAATGATGCTAGTCCATAAACAAGCTTACAGCCTCATTAGGATAGCAGTAGGCTCCAGTGGGTGATTTATGCTCGTTTTGCTGATGCTATGAGGAAATGCCATAGGGCGACTTTAGCCAATTGCTAATGGGTTCTGACAGCTTCTTAGCAACTAGTGCAAGCAACGTTGTGGCGTTTGCTAGTGACAGAAACCGAAAATGTCATATTATCTGCCCATGTGTCATGAAGTCCGTGTGGCAATTAACTAGCAGGCCAGTGACTGAGGGGCCAGAGGCTCCTGAAAATGGCCTTTGGCGATGCAGAGGCAGCCCGTGGGCGCTGAGCCGCACACGCACATTCTAATGCAGAAAGCCACTTCCCAGCGACTTCCCTGGCTCTGATGAGACCGGGCCACTCAAATCCCCCCTCGCCCCCTCACTGAAGTGCCACTCTGGGCTCCTCTCTCTTTGGGCACTGGCTCCGGCGCTATCAGAAGACTCCACGGCCATCTGCTTTGATCTGACCGTCTGCACGGCTCCTTAATTGGCACTACCTGGCCCTGTGCTTTTCGGATGCCGGATTCAAAGCTGCCAGCGCCTTTTCCTGCTTGCTCACAAATGAGTCTAAAAGGATTTCAGATCACTGAAGCAGACTCCTGGCCTGTCAGATGGCTGGGAGCAGAGGAACTCTGGGTGGCCACAAAACACTGCCTAAAAATCACCAGGCTTCTAACAAGCTGGGGAGGAATCCTGGCCGCACTTTTCAGGTTGCGAGCTCTCAAAACCATGCACTATATGTCAAACTGTCAAACCTTTCAGCGTGGGCCATTTGCCCTTTCAAATAATATTTAAGAATTGTTTTTACAAAATTTTATAGGCCATGGTCTAGTGAAAGAGGCCAACCAACAAAGAAAGGAATTTGTACTACAATTCGTCTACGGACAATTTCTTGTGAGACCTGGGCCCGTCCCAGCGGAGCAAGGCAGGTGACCTGTGACAGCTCCCAGGCTGTCAGAGAGCTCAGATTTCAAACAGGCTCAACTCAAACATCCCTGGTCGCCTATTTAAGCATGCCCAGGCATTTAGACTGCGCTATCTCGTGCCTTTCAAGGCAGGATAAAGCGGCATTTATCGTATTCAGACCATTCAATGGGTCAGACTGACCGTGTCAGCGGGGGCTCTTTCCTTGGCAGGTCAAAGCCCAATTCCCATTTTTCTTCCCCTCCTAACTCCCTCTCTACCTCCAGGACTGCCACTACCCCAAACCTATTCTGAGGGAGGTAAAAACAAAACACCCAAAAGGGCCTGGTATTTACATCACAAGGGCTGGGCACTTCCCTTGGCAGTGGGCCAGCAGGTAGAAATAAAGTGGGTTGTCAGTCAGAGGGTTCTTTATGTCGTAGAGGCAAAACTCCTAATTAGGGAGATGAACTTTCAACTGCCAGGGCAAAAGAACGTGCAAGGTTGTAGACCCTCTTGTTTTGCTAGAAACCAAGCTGGAAACCATCCCTGCTTCA